ACCGTTCCCGGAGTGCGGAGGGACGGTCTGGGGCCGAACCGAGCTGTATTTCCTTGGCCTGCTGCGGCTTTGCCGTGGAGCCGCTCTCGGCTCAGCCCCGGAGCTCAGCCCCGTCCCCGGGGAGCTCCTCGTGCAGCGCCTGTGACGAGCCCACCCCCTTTCGGGCAGGGCTGGGCAGAAAGCGTTATTAAATCCGTGCAGCCCTGACATCCTGAGCCGAGCAGCATCGCGATGCCGGCTGTCTCCCCAGGCCTGGCACGCGCAGGCAGCTGCTGGAGTAGGAGCAGTGGGCTGTGGGAACTGGTTAATGCTTAGTGATAGTTATTCCATGTGCTCAGGACAGGGAAATATCTCCCCAGTTCCTCTCTCTTTCCTCGTGTCCCAGCTGCAGAGTTATAGCATCTATTTAGATGTGGTCAGATTTACTAGTGTGGGACCCCCTGGGTGCTGCTGCTGTGTCTAAACTCGGTGTGATTATGTCAGAACAATGTCTCCCTTCATTTGTAACGACCTTTTTGTTGTTCTGCCTTAAATAATAAAAAGGAGAGGGAGAAGCGTGACAGTTTTCAAACTTGCGATCATCTTTGCCCACGCTTTGCTTTTTCAGGTGGAACTACTTTTTCCTTTATGACGGTTCAAAGGTTAAGGAAGAAGGAGACCCTACAAGTGCTGGGATTTGTTATTTTTATCCTTCTCAGGTGAAGTCTGCTTTTATTTTGGTGCTGGTAGAGGAGTGCCTGTGTTGTGAGTCGGTGCTGATCATTCCGGTTCAGGAGCGGCTGGGCTTCCAGGTGGAGCTTTGGATTAATTCTTGTTTAGTGTTCACAAAAGTTTTGAGGATGGCACTGTGGAGTCATCCGGTAGAGTTCTGGTGATGTGGATAAACACACACGAGGGATGAAAGTTCCCCTAAATAAGCTCTAGGCCCTTGTGCTGCCTCACAGAAACAATCTGATTATTCTTTCCTCAGAAACTTGCCTGTACTAGTGCATTTGAGTTATAATTGAATTGAACGTATAATTAGTTTTCATTTATCCCTGGATACAGTAGTGATTTTCTTTCCCAAGTCCTTTTAGAAGGAAAAAGAAAAAAGTCGTTTCTTCCCTGCCTCCCTCGACAGACTCTCCCCGACCAGCAGGAACTGCTGTGCGGACAGATTGCCGGTGTGGTGCGCTGCACGGCTGAGATTTCTGGAGCGCCTCCGACTCTCATTCGCCTGAGGAAGCTCAAGTTTGCGGTTGTAGTGGATGGAGACTATCTGTGGGTGAGTTCAAGGGATCTGGAGGGAGCCACAGCGCGAAACCAGCGAGAGTCTGAACTGCTGTATCAAACCAGAAGGGCTCTTCTTTTTTTCAGGGTATGGGCTGCACGCAGCTAGAGCTGGGGAGAGCTGGGGTGGGGACTTGCAATGGACAATTTTTCATTGCAAGGTAATTCACGTTTTGTTTACTGCAGCATAAAACATGTGTCGTGGCAGCACTTCAGCCATTCTGTGAAAAGCTTCCCATACCTCACTGTGTGTCCACACCCAGCGTGTTTTCCTAAGAAGTGCCTGGCAATGGCTGTAGAATGTTGAGCTCTACATCATGGTGTGTATTCGTGGGTTACTGGTAACGACTGGAAAGAGGATTCTGTGTGCTGCAGTGTATAATATGGACTCAGTCTCCCTGTTTGATTGTTCTTTCCTTCTAACCATCAATATTCCACAGAGCTCTGTCAGTGGCAATAGCCGTTTAGTATATAAAGAGCAGCGTGCGGCAGAGTTGTGACAAAAATGCCCCGAACTGTCACCTGGAAACAGGGCTGAGACTGATCAGACTGATTTAATTGGCAGTGCTGTTCAGGCTCGCTGGGCTCTCTCTGAGAGGCAGAAGATCTGATCAGCAACTCTAAATGAAGCATCTTCATCGCTGTAAATAACAAGTTAATTTGAATGGTTTTGAGTAATTAGTTTCAGGAAAATGTTCTCAGCTATTAGAGCCCTGAGCTGGGTCATCTAATGTGGGAGGGGAGTGTGTCTGCAACGCTGGGTTTCTGATATCATTTATTTATCCTGTCTGTGCCAAGGCTCTTCTATGGATATTTTTTAATTTCCTTTTTATCTCACTTGTGAATCTGAGGGATGTTTGCCTGTCTCAGAGCTGCTTGTACGCCTTTGATGCTCATTTGAAAGTGATCAGAGTTGTTCTCCCCTGCTGTGCCTGAGCTTTGTCAGTAACCATTCTTCAGTCGTGGCTTTCTGTATTCAAGGTGCTGGGCTGTGCCGTCGAGCTCCCCGACATCAGCTGCAGACGGTTTCTGGAGCAGCTGATCAGCCTCTTCACCTTCTACAACGGCCCTGTGCACCGTGCGTACATGGTAATTAAAGATCAGCAGCCTAAGCAGGGGTCTTAAACGCTTCCCATATTGGCCGAGCCCTCCCCAGGCACACACGTGCTGGGCTGTCCCCTCGTCTTGTCTTCCAACGAGCAAGGGTCAGAGCGAGCTCACATACCAGAGAACTGAGACCTGGAAAAGCGTACGGGCCCACCTTCCTGTTGGGCTGGGGGGGTCTGCTAAAAGTTTCGTAGATGTTCAGTCTGAAGCAGTTTCCTCCTGATCCTCCCGAGATTAGCCACCGATAGGTCCTGTCCCAGATGGGTTGCATCCAACCACCCTGAACGCAGGAAGGCCTGTGTGGTGACAGCCGTGTGGATTTCTGTTGTCCGCAGATGTTTTCTAAGGAGGAACTGGGCAGGCAGTGGGACAGATACATCGAACATATCCAAAAGAACACCAGTGACCTCCACAGGATTTTCAATTCTCTCTGGAATCTGGACAAAACGAAGGTAAAAGCCTGTCCCCTGCAGTGACTGTCTCTAGAACTGCCTTAGTGCCAACGCTTTTCTGTTTATTTGCTACTTTGAGCATTTCTCAGGATTCTCTGGCCAAACTTCTCCTGCTTCTCCTTGTCTAGGTGGATCCCCTGCTGTTACTGAAAGCAGCTCTCATCTTGCAAACTTGCCAGCGGTCTCCCCACGTCTTGGCAGGCTGCATTCTCTACAGAGGCTTGTAAGTAGCCAGGTGTTCCCCAGAGGGTTATCCCGCCCGTTCCAGCTGCCTCTGCTCAGGGCTGTGATCCCAGAGGGTGGCCAGGAGGCAGGGCCAGGGCACCGGCTGTACACACAGGGCTGCTGTTTGTCACTGACTGGAACCTTAATGCTTCAGGCAGGGTAATCCCTGTCTGCTGGGGTATTTCAAAGAGGACCAATGGTTATTTGTGTTTGTCAGAAATTGAAATGGAAGCATGAAGAAATTCAAGGTTTGGGTTTTAGTAGTGATCTGCT